ACACCAAAAAAAAATAATAATAAAAACCATAAGGGGAAGGGGCTGACTTTTGTACAGTGTTGCTTTGGCAGTGAAGCAACATTGCAAATCAGGGCAAAACTAACTATTATGTTATTCAAAATGCTGTCCATTTGAGGGGAGGTAACTTGCCAAGGCTGTCAGTATGGGATTTGGACCTACATTCATGGCTAATACGCCCAAGTGTCTGCATGATGGTATTTTAACCAAGCTGGATAAAAGTTTGAAGTCCCATTTCTGTATGACTACATTTTGCACATTTCTATAAGGAAGAGTTTCACAGGTCTTCTGTGTATTGTGAATTAATAATTTGAAATTAAGCGAACAGAATGTAACACAACCAAATCTATGTGCGGAAGATAAGTCTGATACAGTGCATATCATGTTGATGTAGGTGTGACAAGTTCCTATGATTATTTCATGTTTCGTAACAAGGTTCCTTGATCAAACTCGTTGTGGAACTCGCAATTAAAGTGCACCTCTAACGAAAACACGTTTGCTCTGATTTTATCTATTCAAATAAATATGGACGCATCCAAATCGAAGGCAGTGTCATTTGTCTTCAGAGCTCAACTATAACAAGCTTAAAAGGGCTTTTTTTTCTGTTCATGCCAAGATGTAGATTGCGTCATTCTGAGAAATCAGGTCGCAGTGGATAAACCCTTGTGCATGCCAAACAATGTCAACATGCATCATTTGGCATGCGTAGGGTTTGTCTACTACGAACATAGGGCGAGGGTTCCCCTCATTTTCTTAGAATGACGCAATCTACATTCAGAATTCGCATCTTGGCATGAACCGAAAAAAACCGTTAAGCTCGTTATAGTTGAGCTTGGAGACAAATGACACTGCATTCGATTTGGATGCTTCCATATTTATTTGAACAGATAAAATCAGAGAAAACGTGTTCTCCTTTGAGGTGCTCTTTAAGTGAAACCTACATGGTAATAGATAATTACATGAACTTGAAATGCTTCAAACATTGTGATTAGTTTGTTTTTCTAAAGGAAAACTATAAGAACGTGGGCACTTTATTTACTTTAAACACACAAAAAAGCTAGACCACAACAAAATTTCGAGTCATCGCACTATGTATGTTTACTGGGCCAAAGCCGAACCCAAAAATACCTAATTCATCGACAAACTAAACTCCTTTCCTTCCACATAAACTAGACAATCTGTAAGTTTACAGTCGGTTAAGTCTACTTTATTAGTCGTGTGAATTAAGTCAACCAGTTATTCACATAATGCATCGCAGATTGTCTGACCGTTTCTGGAGCTTTGAATTTAAGTGGTTTGTTTGGTGGAACATTAAGCCGACATACATATCATATACACCCTTTCCATACAAATCAGCTTTGTAGAATAGCACAAAATCGAATGCGCAGCATTCAGTCGCTCTGGTTTACGTTGTTTCTTGTTTCACCAATAGTTCCATGGTTTCACCAGATCAGACATTTCCGCTTTCTCTTATCTTCTGTACGTATCTGGCCTATTGTCAATGTTGTTTGTAAAAACTTTGCCAAGCTCTGCACATACTTGAAATAAAAGTTTTGTAGCTTTGCTCTACTCTGTAACACAGGAAATAAAACCAGATTACTTTTTGGTAAAACAATAAGGGATGTCTTTGCTGTTTTATTATTTTCAACACGACATTCATCGTGGTTTTAACTTTTATCGGAAACTGCCATTCAGATCATAAACGAAAAGCTGTCGAATTGGGCCATCTTCTTTAACCTACCACTCGAAATATGCGACTGTACATTACGGAAGTGTACAAGGTCCACTTACAAAAAAAAAAAAAACGATCTCGCCGCGGAGAAAATTTTGTTTTGCAAGTGGACCTTATACGCCTCCGTGGTACATAATGTACAAGGTCGTAAATAAATTTAGAACCGTTTGAAACTGAAGTGTAAGTGGTGGCGCGAATCTGTGCTGGAAATTGGGGGATGGAAGTTGGTGGGGAAATGACATGAAAGTTGGGGGAGGCTGACTTTATATGACTCTAATAAAGTTCAATGTTCATGATATTAATGTACATCTGTAGTTATGTATTCAGAGTGACATATTTATGCCTTTTTAATATCCTTTTTTGAGTGAAACTGAATGCATTTTAGTCAGTGGAAGTCTGAAAAATTCTTCACCATCCACTCTAATTGGCTCACCACAAGGGGCGGTTGATTCAATAGCTCTTCCCCCACCTCAAAAAGTGGGGGATATATACCCCCACCCCCAGGATTTACAACCATGAGTATAAGCTAGTAATTGGTCAATTAAGAAAAGTATAGAGGGATCCCAATACGACGCTTTTAGCGTCGATCTGCGCACTTCCGCGTTTGAAAACGAGGCTGTACGTGTCAGCTTCAATTCTGAATACGATCAGACGATTGAAAGTAAGGAGTTAAGACACAAAATACATAAAGGTATGTTAAATTCAGACTTTTCACGCTGCAAATTTTTGTTGAAGAGTCTTTCAGAATGAATCGACACGTGACATCAAAAGAAAAAACAATGACAATTTACAGCGAACCAACGTACCTGCGATGGCCGTGTATCTTGCGCAGTGGGCGTGGTTTAAACTGAAGTGGTGTCACACTTACGAACCGCATACTGCGTCGACTCTGCGGGCGCGCGCGACGAAGCTCAACACAGAGAGCCTCGGTTTCGATGCGGATACGACCCAAACGCGTTGACTTCTGGCCACTTTGTTGGATCACTGATCCTAGAAAAAAAGCAGCATATTTTTTTTGGAAAAATCCTCAGTACATTGCTATATATGTTCTAAACATGTTCTGTTATAGTTTTTGTCAAGGTATCTCCATATAATCCCTCGGCTTCGGCAGATGCCTTGATAATTGCCGATGAATTTATTGTTTTTTCTCCCCAATCGCAGTCTATCGACGTGTATAATATTCATTATATTGATATTTGTTAATTTATTCTGTTGTATTGAATTGGAATTTCTCGGCATTATGGATATAAATGTTGCTTGATTGATATAAGAACACTTGGAAAACGAGGATAGACAGGCCAATGTCGGCCCAATGAGGTTTTTGACGCAGTTTTGCACAGTTTACAAAGTGAACAATACTGACGGGTGATTTAAGAACTCCATCAGCTGACCGAATTCTACTTTTCTTCCAATTCACGAATGCAAAGCCAGAGGAAAGCTCCGACAAATCTCATCACCATCTGAGCATATCCCAGCCTGAAGGAATTCCTGAATTGTACGCGTTCAGAATTTTTTTGATGACCATGAAGTAGTCCTCCTATTTATTGTGAAATGAATTTCTTTTTGCAGTGTGGCCGTGCGGTGCAATGGAACAAATTCTGATTTCTTCTGAGCATGTGTTGAACTAATTCCAAAGAGCGGAGCCTGTGAAATTGAAGTGAACGATGTGGAAAACGTTCACGTGCATGAGGTTGATGTATTTGTATATACTTCACGTGATTTCATAAGTGATTTTACACGTTTTTGCGAAATCGAGAAGTCGTAGCGGCGCCTACCAGCATTTTGCAACTGTGGTCTAGGCACTCTGGATTTGATTGTTACTGCCTGTTCACTAACAAGAGTGGTGGGGCTACACAGTGCTTTGGACTTTGACGCATGGTGCATATTGATCCAAAGCCTCTTTTGTTATATCGTATTTACACATGAGTTCCAGGATTCTAAATCTTCACGGTTCCTAGACTAACAATCACTGAAGGTTGAGCGAGTTGCACGTGTCCGCACACATGCCACGTAACCGCTGTCTCGAACCACAAGAACAGTTTTCGTCAGCACTGGAGTCGATGTGAAGCGAGTTTGCTAATTCTGATTCGATGCCCAGCGTCGGACGGCAAAATGGCAAACACGGGAATTGGCAAATTGAGAGCTTTGGTCATCTTTGGGCTGGTGGCCGGGGTGGTGGCGTGGGTCGCCACTTGGCACGACGAGTTCACCGTCACAACTGAGATGTCTGTAGCGAGAGGGGCTGAGGAGGTGTACCGGCTCATTGCTGACTTACGGAATCACAAGAAGTACCATCAGTATGTGTAAGTGTTACGCCCCAACTATAGCATCAATCCCAACTATAGTTGGGGCCCGTCCCAACTAGAGTTCGGCCCGTCCTAACTAGAGTGCTACAGTTGGACCGGCCACACTGCAGCAGAGAGGTCCTGTGTGCATGATGTGCCCAGCATGTGCCAAAGTCATTTTGTTTACAAATGTCATGTCACTGGTCATAGGCTAGATGAACAGATGAAGTGCCACATTTTAGAATAATTGTGTCAAGTGTGAGACACACTGACTTGGATAATGTTGAGACATTTTCCACAGCCATTGCTTAACAATAGTTGGGCCAGCCCAACTGCAGCACGACAGTTGGGACTGTCCCAACTATAGTTGGGTCTTACGCTATAGTTGGGGCGTAACATAAGGGTGCAGACCACTAATTCAAGTGAGAATTTCTGACCAGCTCATTAGCATTAAAAGTGCCCCCCCCCACAGTATCTTTTGAAAAAAGAGATTGTTTGGCCCCCAAA